AATTGAGATCATAACTCATGATCAAGTTTATATGCTAATTTCTGAGCAATTTTAATAGGTGGCTTATTTAGTTTTTTTTGGAAAAGTTATTGAATGTAACCTCTAGAGCAGGCACAGTGTTTGGTGCTGGGATTACAATGGGACCTCTTATGGAGTTCACAGTCTGGTGGAGAAAACTGACATTCATGAAATAATTAGACCAATAATTGTAGAATTATAACTGTGATAAGTACTATGAAAAAAGCCTGAAATCTGGGGATTTGTTATTTTATTTTTTAGATCAAATGAAAAGGGTTTTGGGGAGAGGGAACTACATGGGAAAACAACCTCTTGTGGAAAGGAGAATGAAAAGTTTGGGCCGGGCACAGTGGCTCATGCCTGTAATACTAGCACTTTGGGAGGCTGAGGTGGGAGGATCTCTTGAGGCCAGGAATTTGAGACCAGTCTGGGCAACATAGCAAGACCCCTTCTCTACTGAAAAGAAAAAATTAGCCAGTGGTGGTGCACATCTGTAGTTTCAGCTACTTGAAAGGCTGAGGATCGCATGAGGCCAGTTCACGGCTGCTGTGAGCTATGATCATACCCCTCCACTCCAGCCTGGGTGCCTCTAAAAAAATTTTAAAATTAGAAAAAAAAAAAGAAAAGTTTGAAGGTCCTGTTATCTCAGCACTACTTATTAAATTACCCTCTTTAATCACTTTTGTTATATACTTAATGATATTCTTGTCCCATATATTTTTCTTCCATAAAGCATCTGATTATTCATGAGCTATCACTATACTGCTTTAATTATAATAACTTTCTGGCAAGTAATCTCTCACTCTTTTTCAAAAACATTTTGGTTATTATTGCTCCTTTATTTTTTTCCCTGATGATCTTTGTTAATTAAAAAAAACGGGGTCTTTGTCTTTGACTGGAAGTCCATTGTTTTCAGAAGAATTTATATCTTTTCAATATGAATTACAGTTACTGGTGTGCTGGTAAACTGGTGTGCAACAGCCCTGATTTACAGTATGATTGCTGACTACCATGGTGAAATAGTCCCGCCCTGCATGGTTTGAAGCTACCAAGAGTTTAACACTGCCCAGCTCGCAAATTCCTGAATGTCTAACAATCAGCTGTGAATCAGCCCTAGCCAGCTGCAGCACGCGCCGCGCGCGTGCTGATTCTTATCTAGGGACGTGACTCTAACTTCTGTTTAGTTAAGATTTGATGTCTTAGAAAATGTTCAGTGTTCTTAGCTGATTCTTTGCATTTCATGTTATTTTGAAATAAATATTTTTTGTTATTAAGAAAGGGATTTTGGGGGGAGGGGGGAGGAGGGAGGAGGGGACGGGTATTTGCATACACAAAGAGTGCAATGCGCACCACCCGAAGGATGGACATATTTGAAACTCGGGCTTGGGGGGGGGGCAAGGGCAACATA